CAGAAACTAACACACCATTGTAAAGCAATTATACTCCAATAAAGATGTTAAAAAAAAAAAAACACAAAAAAAAAAAAAAAAAAAAAAAGTCTCATAAGAAAACATTGCATGTTCCATTTTTTAAAAATTTGATAAATCCTCAGTTATGTACCATTGGATTTTTATCCCTGCTTAAGTTGTATCAGAACATCTTCATATTTGCAGAGAATTCCAGAGGAGTCAGGCCAGGCCTGTCATACAGTAATCCTAGAGTATAATGACAGCAATTCCTAGGGAACATTATATCTCTAACAAGCTGAGACCCACCCAGGACCTGACACTCCCCAAACACATCTTGGAACAGCCACCATCCCTCCTTCCCGGGAGAGCATGGTGCACAACCTTGGGGTGATCATGGGGACCAGGGTTTTCATGAGGCCAGTTTTTAAGTCCCCAGGGGTGACCTGGCTGATGAGGGGGTGGTGCGGTTGACAGACCAGGGTTGGCACTTTGTGAAGCGCTCGGCCTGGTCAGAATGAGACACAAGTGAGGAGATTTTAAGGGGGTAGGTGTGGGCAGAATAAACAGAGGGGTGATTCTCAGGGGAGAAAGACTGGATCAGCAACTGTCTGGGGAGAACGCAGAAACCACACAAGCATTGCAGACACCTAGGCTAGTGGAGAAGCGAGAAGAACGGGAAGAATCATGAGAAGAGCAGGGGAACCAACGAGAAATTCTGCCAGCCCACTTGTATGGGGGTGGTTCTGCCTCAGTGACGTATTGCAGTTTTAATGGAAAAGCCTCCCACCCTGGTTTGGCCAACTTTGGGGAAGTGAGAACTGGTTTGGCGACTTTGGGGAAGTGAGAAGAAAGGCCAAAGGGAAGCACTTTGACGTGGAGATTTAAGTTGTTGCCAGAGCTGCCTCACCACAACAGCTCTGCAGCTGTGTGGCAGCTGTTCTCTGCTCAGCGAACCTGAGGACAGTGAGGCCCTGTGACCAGGGTTGGGTGACTCTGGGCAGGCCTCTTTTCATTCTGTCCTTGCTTTAGATACTAAACCAAGGACAGGTACCGATACAATAATCTTCATGCTGAACAGGACCTGTGTTTCATCCATGGCTACTTTTTGAACAGTTTAGTCCAGGTTTGTGTGAGTGAATAATCCTCCACAGCCTGCCCAAGCCAGTGGAAGCCTCCACTGCCCTGGGGAATTCATGGCCAACTGTCAGGGAGTTTTTCTGGGGGCGGGGGGGGGGGGGGGGGTCTTTTTGATT